TATCTAACTAGAGCTCAATTTTTCAGGAAGCTATGACCAAACCATGAGAAGATTTCAACTGCGTACTAAACCCTGATTCAATACATGTGCTTGAAATTAATTTTGCCAAAAAAGATCAATGAGGGGTTAGACTGATTCTAATAATAAAGGATACAAACTGATTCTATACATTGTTTCGAAAGTGATCCATAAAAAATGGTCAATGAGGGATTGAGTTGATGGAGCATATTAATTTCTTTGTGTAAGTTGGGCTATGTTAACAAATAGAATTATTATTAGGGGTATGACTAGTATTTTAAAAAATTGTTTTCATGTTTTTTGGTTGGACTTTAGGTATTTTTGTGTTTTTACTCTTCTTGAAATGTATAAAAACTAGTAGTTACTCAAAATATTGTGTATATTTTTATCTCCATATGTAAGGCTCCCTTCTTTTAGTTTTGGTTTTTTATTGCAAGTTAATTTGTTGCATGATTCCCGACTAAGGCATGACAGATCTTTTTGTGTTTGTTTCTTTTCAAGTCGGCATTTTAATTATTCGACTATTTTCAAGTCCTGTGACAAAAAAAATAAAGTTCTGTAGCTTATAAGGCTTAGTGTTTCTACACTATATATGTTTTTTTTTTTTTCGAAGTTACACTAAATATGTTGCATGTGACACTCAAGGGAGAGAGGCTAAAAGCGGTTTCAAATAATAGAAAGTGTTTATGTAAGAGTTAGAAACTCTAAAGATGATAGGTAGGAAGAGGTTGAAATGCCTCTAAGTCTTTCTAGTTCCCGAAAGAATGGACGGCCGTAACAAAGTCACGAGCTAGTCCATTTTTCAGTAAAGAGAAACCCCAATATATGGGAAAAATTGTCCCCCTTTTTTTTTTTTCTTTCTGCTCATTGTTTACACTTGGTTGTGAATTTTCAACCAATTGCCTATTAGTTAACAAGTCCCTTTTGGATTTCAGTTTCCTTGTAATTTGTTGGGGTTCTCCTCATGAATTGAGACAAAGGTGAATCGGATATGAGAAGTGAGAACGTCGAAGAGATAAGGTTTTCATAACCTCCACAAGAATACTTATGGTAGACTTGTTAAGTACATGCCCGCACAAATCGTCACTTTGAAAAGAAAAACAAAAAAAAAAAACAAAACAAAAAAAAAAATCAACATAAAGATCTTCAAGATTCCAACTCATGTTTTCTATTTTGGACCAAGTGCAGAGCGCCTTAGCGATTCAAAACTATTATTGAGGACATCATATTACTTTCTAGACCTTGGCTCATGTATTCCGAAAGGCAAATTTTTTTTGTTGATGTCGGTAGAACACTCCATTCATAATACTTATATTTGGAATGTCTCCAGATTCATTTAGTTTGATTTCATCTTACACTATCACCACCACTTCCGATCTCACATCTATATTATAGTATATCAAATTAAACGGGTCTTAACGAGTACCTATTAACAACCCAATAAGTTAATTTGCTACCTCGAGTTTGGAGCATTGCAGATATTATTATTAATAGCCAATAAAGTAAATATTTCTCATTAAAACTTCAGTCGGTCTATGAAAACACACGCAACATGTAGAGGTTATTTTGGGAGGTGGATTGTCTGCTCTCCCATTTCGATACTTTTCTCATCCCCTCCTGTTTGTGTGGTCACGGTTAAAACAAGAATTGATGGAAAGAGTATGGAAATGGGAGGGGAGACAATCCACCTCCATTATTTTGGTTAATTTGAAACACAGGTGGGAACTAGGATATATGTACACAAATAGATATACGACTCCCATCTATCATCCATGCAAACGCGGCATTGGTCGAAAAAAGCCAAAAATCCTGGAATGGGACATCTTCTCATCACGGGGTTGCCGGTGGTGCGACTTAGGATGGGAATGGCCGTATACGCCTCCTTTTCACATCTACCAATCGCGTGATGAGTACAGACAATGCAATTATGAGAGGGAGGCGTACGTGAGCGGCCAAAACTTTCCCAAAAACAATAAAAAATGTGGAGTCGTTAAAGCGATTAAGTTTGAATACTCCAGAGTTGAGGGCTTAATGGAAAGACATAAAATCCAAGACAAGTGAAAGCAGCCAAGACTTTGTTAACCACATGCTCAATTGCTAATGCCATTCCCAGCCAAGAAAACCTTTCTTCGTTTTTTTTTAGCCGAGGGATATTGCTGTTAAGTTAGAAATTAATTTGCCACTAACACAGTTCGAACCTCCGTCATCATGCAAGAGCATCATTCTTGTCCACCGCTGTGGTAAAAGGCCACCTGCTAGCCAAGACAACTTATAATTCCTGAGATATTTTTTATCCACAAAAATGCGGTGTCGTCTAACACACATAGACCAAACACAATCCTAACACAACCCTAGCCAGCTTGTTTGTGGGGTTTTCTCCACACTGTTCAAAACAAAACCACCCAATGCTTATCACACCAAATTATAGATATAGGCCCGACGTTTCGTTTCTTTTTTCACAGATAAACAAGCATTTGAAAAAGAAAAAGAAGAATAGAATACCTACATATATTCGTTCATGTTAGCCAATGTTTTAAAAGGCTAGGGCGAAGGTGTTTATGGATAATCCCGCCCAGGTGAAAGTTTTGAGGTGTATGGTGAAGCCTTAAGGGACCTAAATAATTGGGGACTGTTGTGGGTATAATTCGGGACAGTTGTGAGTTATTAAAAAAAAAGGACTATTATGGATTATAAAAAAAATAATAAACTTGGCGAAAATAACGTTGTTTTGGGCCAAGTCATTTAAAAAAAAAGAAAACTAATGAAAATAGATTGAAAACTTTGAGTTTTAACTATGATGACAAAATAAAGGGTAAAGTGAATAGTATCAAGATTGATTTTTTAGTGTAAAAATGTGGTTTTTCGTTAAAATGAACAGTACTGTAAGTTATTCAAATCGCTGATGGATTTGGGAACGCCCAGTCAACTGCCTTCAGCCGTCTAGGCAAGTTTTCACCTACTCCCACTGGGCAAATGCGTTATCACTCTTGCCTCACATCCGAAGTTGCCTACGCATGCCTCATATGTTTTTTTCTTTTTTTTTTAAACAAACAATATTATCTACACAAGCATGAGAATTAGCTTAACCTCACAATGAGCTATAAAAAATGTGGTTCAATTTTATCTTTGTCGAGAATCGAATTTAAGATCTCTCATTTATAAGAGAAGAAGAATATCACTATATTGTGGTACTAGGTGGTCGCTTGATGCTAGCAATTACATTCTAGATCTTTAGAAGAGTGGTATGGAGCCGCATTTCGTTATTAACGTACAATAAAAAGCTTAAAACATGCACAACCAAAACCATACAACTGTTCATAAACAGTTTGACGTGCTCAGGCAATTACATTCTAGACAAGGGAATCAATTGAAACAAAAGCTTAAGTTCCATCACTTCACGCGGGTTTAACGGTAAATGAACAAAACTTAGATGCAAAACACGGAAAATGACAGATTTTGGTCTCAAAATATTAGACGAGATGAATCATCGGTTGAAGATCTTTTCATCTTTAGAGAGAGGAGCTCAAGATATTTCAAAATATCACAAGAGCTAGTTCAAGATATTTTAATCACATAAGAATATCCAATCAAGATTCATGCATGAATGCTTGCAGCTTCAAGTGTGTTCAGCATACTAAAATATCTATAATCTATCCACGTCTTATGACTAATATACCCTTGAAAGTTGGTCCATAAGTCAAGGCCAAAAAAACAGGGAAACAAAACCAGTACAAATTAAAGGTGGTTCAAATTTTTTAATCAGTTTTAAAATTTCAACCAGAAAATTATAGCAATAGTCCCTTAATTGAATTGGAGCAATAGTCTTTTAATTTCAACCCAATTGGAGCATTAGTCCTTTAATTCATCAAAATGTGCATCTATGATCATTTTCGTCAATTTGGTTAGAACTTCTGTTAAAATGACTTATGGTTGAAGAACTATTATTATAATTGGATTAAAATTAACGGATCATTTCTCTAAATACGTTAAAGTTGAGGAACCACTCCAATTGGATTAAAGTTAAGGACAATTTTGACTTTTGATTTCTATATTTCTCCCTTAATTTAGCTTCACGTGCATGACATGTGACTCATTTTGATGGAAGTTCTGACGAAGTTGATGAAAAGATCATAGCTGCATGTTTTTATAAGTTAAGAAATCAATAACTATTAATTTTTAGTTAAAACACCATTACTTCAATTCAATTAACGTTAAGGAGATCATTGATACAATTTGCTTCCAATGTAAACGCCAAAGTTCCTTGTAACCTAAAAGAAAATTCACATTTTCCTGGAAATTGTCAGAATGGAAGAGGTGTAAGTGTAACCACGTATACAGAAAATGACTTTGAAAAAGTGACCTGAGTGAGACCAACAAATAAAATAAAATAAAATAAAATAAAATATGAGCTGAGCTGCTTTGATCTCTTGCAGTTTTTCTCTTTTCAACTGGACCCCACCAAACCGGCCATTCCTCAAGAGGGAATTTAACGCGGCATTGGTCGAAAAAAGCCAAAAATCCTGGAATGGGGTCTAGGGGTGGGCGCGGTGCGGTTTGGTGCGGTTTCGAGTGAAACCACAACCGAAATAGAAACTTTTTGCGGTGCGGTGCGGTGCGGTTTTGAAGCCAAAATCGAAATGAAACCAAACCGTTTGGTTCGGTTCGGTGCGGTTTCAAACGGTTTCGGTGCGGTTTCAAACGGTTTCAAGCGGTTTCAAACTTAAATACAATCCCCCAAAACATGCACCCACTCTCTGCGACCAAACTCCTCTCCTCTTTCCCCAAAATCCCAAAATCACGCCCCCAAATCTCTGCGTCCAATATGAAAATGTATGTAAACCGAAAGTGAGAACCAATAGCAGAAATGTTCTAATCATGCAGTCTAAGCCACTCAGAGTTCGCCATCACCATTCTTTAACGCAAAATCTCATTGAAAATGTATGTAAACGAAAAGAACACCATTTTCAGCTACAACCTTACAAATGCAAACACATAAATGGCTTTGCTGCAGAATTTCAGCTGAAACTAACAGAGGCTGGGCAAATATAAACAAACAAATCCAATCTCAACCTCTCTCTCACCGGAACTCTTCTCTTCTTCTTCCTCTCCCTCCCAGCCGTCCTCCTCCTTCAAATCCAGCGTCTGCAACTCACCAGCTCCGTCCTCCTCCTCCTTCAAATCCAGCTTCTGCAACTCACCAACTCCGTCCTCCTCCACCTTCTCTGTCGAATCCAGCTTCTGCAACTCATCAGGTTATTTATCCCCCTCCTCCACCGGCTCTTTCAAATCCAGTTTCTGAAGCTCGTCGAGGACCGCATGATCTAGATCAGACGGTGTGGGATCGGGATCCGGGGAGGAAGGCAGAGACCCCTGGTCGGAATGAGCGTGGTTGGTGCTGGGGGTTTCGGGATTTGGGGGAACAACAGAGGTTGCTTCAGAGAGTGCCATTCTCCCTCCACATTTCAAAACCCTAACTTTTTCAGATATGAAAATGAACTGAGTCTATCTTTGACCGAGAGGGAGAGAAAAATAGAGTTGGCAGAAGCAGTCGCTCGCAGGCAGGCAGGCAGAAGCAGTCGCTCGCAGGCAGGCAGGCAGGCAGAAGCAGATGCAAGCAGGCAGTCAGGTGACCAGGTCGCAAAGGCAGATGCAGAGATGCAAGGAGGCGGCGCAGAAGTAGTCACTGAAAGTGCAAACCCACTCGGTGCAAACCCAGAACCGCAAAACCAAATGTATAAGTATAACCTAGTTGAATGAACTAAATAAAAAAAAATTGCGGTTTTGGTTTCGGTTTCGGTTTCGGTGCGGTTTTGAAAACCCAAAACCGAAACCAAACCGTTTTGTGTGCCGCGGTTCGGTTTTGAAACCGAAACCGTTTCAAAACCGCAAAACCAAACCGTTTGGTGCGGTTTGATTCGATTTGTGTTTCGGTTTCGGTTTTCGGTTTCAAGTGCCCACCCCTAATGGGGTCTTCTCATCACGGGGTTGCCGGTGGTGCGACTAGGATGGGAATGGCCGGCCGTATACGCCTCCTCCTCACATCTACCCATCGCGTGATGAGTACAGACGATCCGATTATGAGACGGAGGCATACGTGAGCGGCCAAAGCATTCCCAAAAAAAAAATAAAAAATACGGAGTCGTTGAAGCGATTAAGTTTGAATACTCCACAGTTGAGGGCTTAATGGAAAGAAATAAAATCCAAGACAAGTGAAAGCAGCAAAGACATTGGTGAAAACCACATGCTCACTTGCTAATGCCATTCCCAGCACTACTACTTCTCTCTTATCCTAAATCAACCAAAGCCAAGAAAACCTTCTTTATTTATTTTTTTATTTTTATTTTTTTTTGCGTTGAGTGATATTGTCGTTAAATTAGAAATTAGTTTGTCATTGATGAGATTCGAACCCTCACCGTTGTCATGCAAAAACATCATTTCCCTCCACCAATGGTTGAGGGCCACCTGCTAGCCAAGAAAACTTATAATTCCAGAGATATTTTCTGATCCACAAAAATGCAGTGTCGTCTAAGACACATAGACCAAGCACAACCCTAGCTAGCTTGTTTGTGGGTTTTCTCTACATTGTTCAAAACAAAACCACCCAATGCTTATCACACCAAATTATAGATATAGGCCCGACGTTTCGTTTCTTTTTTCACAGATAAACAAGCATTTGAAAAAGAAAAAGAAGAATAGAATACCTACAGATATTCGTGCATGCTAGCCAATGTTTTAAAAGGCGAAGGCAAGGCGTTTATGGATAGCCCCGCCTAACTAAAAGTCTTGAGGTGTAAGGCGAAGCCTTAATGGACCTAAATAATTGGGGACTGTTGTGAGTATAATTGGGGACATCTATGGATTATTTTGAAAAAAAAAAAAACAAGGGACTATTGTGGGTTATAAAAAAAAATAGACTTGATGAAAACGACGTTGTTTTGAGCCAAGTCAATTAAAAAAAAATTAAAGAATTGTCTAAAATGACGTCGTTTTAGACAAAGTCTTTAGAAAAAAGAAAAAAAATCTTCTATTTATGGTCAGGTTCTTCCTGAAGATGTCGTCGCACTGTAATAGTTAACTAAAGGACAAAGCCCTTCGACTTTACTTTCAGATTGTTGATGGATCTGGGAACGCCCAGTGAACTGTCTTTAGCCGTCTAGGCAAGTTTTCGCCTACTCCCACTGGGCAAATGTGTTATCATTCCTGCCCCACCTCCGAAGTCACCTAGGCACGCCTCAAATGTTTTTGTTTTCTTTTTTTGAACAAACGATATTATTATCTACACGAGCATGAGAATGAGCTTAACCTCACAATGAGCTATAAAAAAATGTGGTTCAATTTTTCCCTTGACGAGAATCGAACCTAAGACCTCTCACTTACAAGAGAAGAAAAATACTACTAGATTATGGTACTAAGTGACTACTTCATGCCCACAATTACATTCTAGATCTTTAGGAGAGTGGTATGGAGCCGCATTTCATTATTAACGTACAATAAAAAGCTTAAAACATGCACAACCAAAACCATACAACAGTTCATAAACGGTTTGACGTGCTCATGCAATTACATTCTAGACAAGGGACTCAATTGAAACAAAAGCTTCAGTTCCATCACTTCACGCGGGTTTTAACGGTAAATGAACAAAACTTAGATGCAAAACATGGAAAATGACAGATTTTGGTCTCAAAATATCAGAAAGCATGAGTCATCAGTTGAAGACATTTTCATCATTGGAGAGAAGAGCTCAAGATATTTCAAAATATCACAAGAGCCAGCTCAAGATATTTTAATCGCATAAGAATATCCAACCAAGATTCATGCATAAATGCTTGCGGCTTCAGGAGTGTTAAGCATACTAAAATATTTATAATCTATCCAAATCTTATGACTAATATACCCTTGAAAGTTGTTCCATAAGTCAAGGCCAAAAACACAGGAGAAACAAAACCAGTACAAATTAAAGGTGGTTCAAAATTTTTAATTAGTTTTAAAATTTCCACATGTATTACAATTTAAGAGAAAACTGCAGTAATGGTTCCTTAATTTTAATGCAATTGGACCGTTGGTCATTTAACTCATCAAAATGTGTAGCTATGGTCATTTTCGTCAATTTCGTCATAACCTCCGTTAAAATGACTCATGGTTGAAGAACCATTACAAAAATTGGGTTAAGGTTGATGAATCATTTCTCTAATTAGGTTAAAGTTCAGGAACCACTCCGATTGGATTAAAGTTAAGAACAATTTTCACTTTTGTTTTCTATATTTCTTCCTTGATTTAGCCTCACGTATATGGCACGTAAGTTATTTTGACAAAAGTTCTGAAGAAGTTGATAAAAAAACATAACTACACGTTTTTTAGTTAAAAGATCATTATTCCAATTCAATTAATGTTAAATGACCACTGCTGCAATTTGCTTCTAATTTAAACGCCAAAATTCCGTGTAACCAAAAAGGAAATTCACATTTTCCTGGAAATTGTAAGAATGGAAGAGGTGTAACCACGTATACCGAAAAAAAAAGTGAGCTGAGTCAGACCAACAAATAAAATAAAATATGAGCCGAGCTGCTTTTGATCTCTTGCACTTTTTCTCTTTTCAACTGGATCCCACCAAACCGCCCATTCCTCAAGAGGGAATTTATTTTTATAAATAAGGCCGCAACCCCTTCATCCATTTTCATCACTTTTTCTCTCTTCCCTTCCCTTCCATTCAAACCCCAAAACACACTTCAGAAAATACAATGACGTTAACTCTCCGTTCTTCAACTTCGTTCGTCAATCTTAAAGACCATAAGGGCCTTAAAACCTCCGAAGACTCCCCCGGCACGATATGCTTTGCGCAAATCAAGCCATCATGCCGTCTACGGGCTAAGAGTTCAATGCAAGAAACACGGCTCTTGCACGAGAAGAACTTAATAACCATCTCTGATGGAAGGAGAGAGTTGCTTCATGCACTACCCAATATTGCTCACACCAGCACTGACAACAAGGTGCCTGTGTACGTGATGCTTCCGCTAGACACGGTAAATCACGGAGGACATTTGAATAAGCCGAGAGCAATGAATGCGAGTTTGATGGCCCTGAAGCAAGCAGGGGTTGAAGGAGTTATGGTGGATGTGTGGTGGGGATTGGTGGAGGTGGACGGACCTTCCAAGTACAACTGGGAAGGGTATGCCGAGCTTGTGCAGATGGTGCAAAAGCACGGCATGAAGATCCAAGTCGTCATGTCTTTTCATCAGTGCGGAGGAAATGTTGGAGACTCATGCAGGTGTGTTTGGTGGTTCTAATTGCAGTATATTATGTTTAATGTTCTCTATAACTTACACAACACGAACAGCCATGCTATTGGATTTTTAATGGAACCCTTGACATGCTTAACATAAAAGTGCTTATGAGCAAAAAGTGCTTTCTATGTTTTTGCCCAGAGTTTGATCTAACTCCACCTAGTGTGGATTTATGCAGCGATTCACTAAAGCACAAATTTTATGAATTTTCAGCATTCCTTTACCTCCATGGGTGCTTGAAGAAGTCAGCAAGAACCCTGACCTTGTTTACACAGACAAATCAGGCAGGAGGAATCCCGAGTACATATCCTTGGGATGTGATTCATTGCCTGTTCTCGGAGGAAGAACTCCTATTCAGGTCTACACCGATTACATGAGGAGCTTCCACGACAGATTCATTGACTACTTGGGCGACGTTATTGTGGTAATTATCTGCAACAAAAATGTTAACTCAACTTTATGCTATTATTTTTGTAGTAGAAATTCAAAAGTTCAAAAAACTAGACATAAAGATTTTTGCCGGTGTCCGACTGGAAAAATAAAAAAAGATTTTCAAACAGAAGAAAACTAATTTGGGCTAGGACAAACTGGCATCATTCGACGAATGTCAACATTCGTCTCAAATTACAACGGACTTGTTTCAAATTTCGAAACTCAATTCCAATTACTTGTACAGGAAATTCAAGTAGGCATGGGTCCTTGTGGGGAGCTCAGATATCCAGCTTATCCAGAAAGCAACGGAACTTGGAGGTTTCCTGGAATCGGGGAATTCCAATGTTATGACAAGGTAATTATTCTAAACAGAAGCCCTTATTCCATTTCTGCTGGCCAATTAAATTACCCTAAACCGAACCACATCATATTTCGATAATTTATTTTTGTGATATTCCTTATTCCTAAACAAGTTTTTATGTCAAGCAGTACATGAGAGCTTCCTTGGAAGCATCAGCAGAGGCAATGGGGAAGAGAGATTGGGGAAGAAGTGGACCACATGATTCCGGCCAGTACAATCAATTTCCTGAAGACACCGGATTTTTCAAAAGAGATGGAACATGGAACACTGAGTATGGACAGTTCTTCCTTGAATGGTACTCCGGAAAGCTACTAAGACACGGAGATAGAATATTGTCAGCTGCGAAAGGAGTATTCCAAGGATCTGGAGCTAAACTATCCGGAAAGATTGCTGGGATTCACTGGCACTACGGATCAAGATCACATGCGGCTGAATTAACTGCAGGCTACTACAACACAAGACACAGAGATGGTTACGTACCAACAGCCAGGATGTTCAGCAAAAACATGGTTGTATTAAACTTCACATGCATGGAAATGAAAGATAGAGAACAGCCTGAACATGCAAATTGCTCACCAGAAGGTCTGGTGAGGCAGGTAAAGATGGCGACCAAGAGTGCTGGAATTGACCTAGCAGGAGAAAATGCCCTGGAGAGGTATGACACTGGTGCGTTTGCACAAGTT